TCCACTGTAGATGACGATTTCTTATTTTTGTGCCTAAATGTAAACCTTCGATATTTTGCACATCAACTAACTTCACCAAATAATCCCAACTTATCTGATTGTTTTCAGAATCACCTAAGTATTTGATGGAACCAAAAGCGTTTCTGACTAATTTTATCATGTGGCTTGGGTCTAGGAATATGTATACATTTTGACCCGTTATAGGATGGAGAAAATAAGTCTTCAAGTTTGTTACATCGTTCAGATTTGTCCCTAGACAAGAAGCCATTGTGAAATTTACTGGAGCACCATCGAATGTTAATGATGCTACAGTAACTCCAGAAGTGTGGATGAAGGTTAGGCATTTTTTCACGAGTTCTGCCTTTTCATAACCAGTCAAGCCATCCAACAGAAAGTAACCCACCGGAATTTTCCATGCTCCATTCAAGCATACTAACATAAAAACCAACACCTCCTTTGCTTCTGGTAGAACGTCTGATTCTATGTTAGCCCCAATATCAACATACCCCGTGAACTTACTCCCTGTCCATTCAACTTGTTTCCGAATAGACATCTCATCTAGGACTAAATTACACATAACAGTAGAGTTTTTGGTTGAAGCTTCTCCTTGTTTTAATTTCAAGGCCACAATGGATTCCTCAGTGAAGCCTGGTGAACGATCAATCGACTTATACCATTTGCTTATTGTTGACAGATGGGGTAGAGCAAGGCTAAATGTCTTCCTCACAAAATTGTATGCTCTTGGGGAATAAAAACTCAGCGTGAGGGCAAATGACCGCAAGGCAGGGTTATATTTCTGGCTAGTACGCCCCCTCAACATTCTTTCAAAGATTTTCAAAGGCATACCAGAAAGAGATGCCTAAAAGAGATATTAAGTATTTAGAATGCAATTAAATCATGTAATCTGAACAGAATGAGTATTTTAAAACTAGTATTAATTACATTTATGCAAGATAAATAACATCAGGAAACTAAGATATTAACACTGAACATACCCATACTCAATTCTATTTCTACCATAACCAGTCTCATGACCTGCTGTGGTTAGATGACGATATGTATACTTGTTGTAACAAGTATTAGTCAAAATAAACAAAATACGAATAAAAAAAGAATATCAAATGCTATAATTAAAAGAAAAAAATCATGGAGCTATATGTGCAAAAGTGATAAGATGATAATGCTTATTTTCAATGAGCAAGATTACAACTGGTCTTCTGACCAGTTATGGTATGTTGAGTGTTGTGTGTGTGTTGTAATGAAAATTATTATATTGAAAAAAAAAGTTGATCAATTGCTCCATTCAAATGAATTCGGGTATCTGGGACACACAGTCTTCATCAATCTGCTTACCTTCAATACAGTTTCAGCTGAATCTGTTATGTGATTCTTCTGCTTCAAAAGTTTCAATAAGCCACTTAGAGTTTTTATTCTTCTCCTCAAAGCAGCAACACTTGTTTGGAGACTTTTTACTTTTTTCCTCAATGTCATTAGGGAACTTTTCATCAACCGATAATTTGACTTTGATTTTCTGGGAGTGGAAAAGTCATCACTTGATAAATCTCCAACATAACGTTTTAGCCTGAAAAGGATAAATGTGTCAACTATATACTTTATTCATTAAATAATATTATATATCATTTCATCTTGATACAAAATAGCTAGTAAGAAACAAGTTCTTGTCTCCCTCAAATACCTTCTTTTAGTGGTGTTCTGACATTTCGTTTGGTGACATTGCCTCTAATTGCAAATTGATACTCCTGTTCAGAAGCAGTTGCAGTACTGGATGATGTGAATGACTGCAAAATTTCTGGAGGCTCTACCATCTTAGAAGCTTCATCAGGAAAAGGAATATGACTTGAGCTAAAATATTTTCTACATGAGTAAATGAAATGGTTTAGATTAAGAGAATACTCACACCACATGGGAAGGCCCTGGTATAGCTAACTCTTCCATTCTCAATCTAAAATAAAAGGTATACATAAAATACTGGACATAACACATGTAAACAACCAAAATCCTTTGACATACACATGATACTATTTAGATAAGTTTTGACAATAATTGTTTGGTAATGTACTTGAATGTATGAATTGCATTTATTAAAGCACACTTGAAGCACACAGGCACTGACTTATTTTACTGTGCCAATCTGTTTATTTTGATAATAATATGTAGTATAAGCTTATTATATGAGAATAGTTCAAGTCCGTATAGAACTCTACTCACCCCTTTCTGACAGGGCTCCCTTGACTGCTATGGGCTTCTGAGCTTGATTCCTTTGATGGAGTAAGTGTCACTGTTGAATCAGAGCTGGAATAATAATGTTTGTTTATGGATACAATAACAAAGTAAATATTTACAGGGCTAGAGTCTAGAGTAAAGTACAAGTATAATCTTGACACATTTTTAATTCTTCAAACTTTAGATAATAGAAATGCTGAGTAAATATTAATCAATATGAATATATAGGGCAAATGTATCTGTATGCTATTAATAGCATGTCAAAAAAACTCAAAAAAGTAACAAACATATTTACCTTGCATACTCCTGCTCATCATGTATGGAGCGAACATCTACTGGTTCAGCACCATCCTTCAAAAGCCTTCTTCCAGCAGAATCATATTCAAAGTCCCTATCATGAAAATGTTTGCTGCATATCAGTGCCACTTTCGGCAACGTTTTCTCCCAGTCAATGCCAAGCAGTGAAATCCATAAAATGCGCTTTGCTGGGTCAGATGGGAGTCTAAAATTGTAAACACATGTCTTACACCAATGATCTGTCTAATGATTATAAACTAGTTAGCACAAAAATATAATCAAATCATGGCAAAATCACGTTTACTTAAGTTGCATGAAGATTGTGTATGTGGATATTTTTGTACTTGATGAACTACACCCAGAACATCTTTAAATTGTATCATACTGCTAGTGATGGATATATATTCATATAAACTCGTCAGGAAGCTACAAAAAGTTACTAAAATGATGGTAAAAGACTGTTTTATGATAATTTTTTCAGTAAAATTTGTATTGCCACGCCTATGATATGAAAACATAACCTTACTTACCGATGGAATGATAAATTGGCCGATTCTGGATTACTGCTGTTTATCTTGCACACATAACACGATCGCACCATTGTTCAACAGGTAACAGTTCAATATCACTAACAAACTTATGGCAAATAGCACAAAAATAATGATTTGTGAAAATCCACAACTCAAGCATAAAATACGCACTTTATACTATCGTAAAATGTCAATTCATACGAAAAATGCGACGTTGCCAATGTCGACTGAAGCTCTGTGACTGAAGGAAATCTCTTTCCAATTCGCTAACGGTAAATTCAATACGAAAATAGTTCACTTTTCTACTTTTCACTATTGCTTATGCAGATTTTCAAGAATGTTAACAATTTTATTATTTTCATGAGTCCAAATAGCTGGTTTACACGATGAAATATTTGTTTGAGGTTTGTTTACTACCAGGTTAGGAATTCTATCAGCTAGTAACTGGCAACATTGCAATTCCCTAATAAAGGGTGTCCCAAAATTAACGCAAGATTTGAATTTGCCGCCATTTGTGCAGTGAAGTGTTGGCAACCCTGAAAAAAAGCAATTTGACAGCTAACAGTATAGGGTTATGAAAAATGGAGCGTTACACGATAGAACAACGTGTCTTCATTATTAAAGAATATTTCAAAAATAGTGAAAGCTTGGCGGCTGCAGTTCGAAAATTTCATACAAAATATGGCCGGAATAGTGTTTTAACTTCGTCAACTGTGAAGAGATTAATTGAAAAATTCATGGAGACTGGATCCGTTGGAGACGCCAAACACACTGGTCGTCCAAAAACAAGCCGTTCAAATGTGAATATCGAAGCAGTGCGTGAGAGTGTTGCGGACAATCCAGGAACCTCAATTCGACGTCGTGGACAAGAATTGCAAATGTCAAGAACCTCTCTACAGCGTATACTCACCAAAGATCTGTGTCTTCATGCTTACAAACTTCAATTAACACAACAATTGAAGCTTAATGACCATGCAGAGAGAAGAGAGTTTGTTGAATGGATTATTGAACATCAACAAATGGACCCTGATTTTTCAAGCAAAATCATCCTAAGCGATGAAGCACATTTTCATCTTGATGGCTTTGTCAATCGCCAAAATTGCCGCATTTGGGGTTCGGAGAACCCACGTGTGATTGTCGAAAAAGAAATGCACCCACAACGCGTGACTGTCTGGTGTGGATTTTGGGCTGGAGGCATAATTGGGCCATATTTTTTTGAAAATGATGCTGGTCAAGCAGCGACTGTTACTGGTGCTCGATATCGCGACATGATTACACAGTTCTTTCTGCCAAAATTGAATGATATTGATGTACCCAATATGTGGTTTCAACAAGACGGTGCCACATGTCATACAGCCCGTGAAACAATTCAATTACTGCATGAGACATTTCCCGGTCGTGTACTCTCTCGTTTCGGTGATCAAAATTGGCCTCCTAGATCGTGTGATTTAACACCATTAGACTTCTTTTTATGGGGTTATTTGAAATCACAAGTCTATGTCAACAAGCCCACAACCACCCGTGCATTAAAGGAGGAGATTCAACGCTGCATCAACGAAATTCAGCCACATTTATGCAGAAGGGTCATGGAAAATTTCGACAAAAGAGTGCGCATGTGCATGCAAAGCCGTGGAGGCCATTTGTCCGATGTGTTATTCCATACATAACCCTATCCTATGTACTTTATGAGTCAATAAAAATATAACTATTAAAAGACTAAAAATGGCATTTTCTATTTAATTCAAATCTTGCGTTAATTTTGGGACACCCTTTATTTATCCTTTCAACGCGTTTTAGTGTAAATAGAAAGGTCTAGGTCTTTTCATCGTCGTTGGTCTAAATAGTCGACCTACTCTTGCATCATATTGGTCCACCGATGTATTATATAAAAATCAAGTATCTCAAGTATTATCAAGAAATCGTTTCGAAATGCTTTTGAGGACGATTCATTTTAGCAGCAGGGAACACGAGAATAACAATGATAGATTCTACAAGATCAGACCTGTTCTTGATATGTTGAATAACTCTTTTCAGCAGACTTATACAGTTGGAAAAGAAATGGTAATAGATGAAAGCATAATACCATGGAGAGGCAGACTGAAATTTCGCCAGTACATACGTTCCAAGAGTCACAAATACGGGGTAAAACCTTTTTAAATTATGCAGTCCAAATGGTTATACATGGAAATGTCTAATTTATACTGGCCGTAGTGAAGAACAGCGTCCTGCTGGACTTGGGGGGGACCTTGACTGAAGGATTATTGAACGAAGGAAGAATTCTGTATACTGACAACTTTTATACTAGTTGTCCATTAGCCAGAATTCTTCTAAGCAAAAGTACACATCTAGTAGGTACGCTTAGACGGTCCAGAAATACCTCGCAAAAGATGTCACGACCAAGAAGCTCAAAAAACATGAGTACATTGCGCGAGAAACTAATGATGGGATCGTCGTTTCCAAATGGAAAGTTGCTAGGGACGTACTTATGTTATCTACAGTTCACGGAATTGGCATGAGAGTTCCGCCACCTTCGAGTAAACGAAAGAGAGCATTTTCTCCAAGCTGCAGTAACGAGGAGCCCACTCCAAAAAAGAAAAAAGAAACAATCAAAACGCCAACATTGAAACCAGACGCAATTATTGCTTATAATAATGGCAAGTGTGGTATTGACAAGTCCGACCAAATGGCGTCCTACAGTACATGCAATCGACGAGGCGTCAAATGGTACCGAAAGGTATTTTTTGAGTTGCTGACGGGCATGTCGATGGTAAATGCATTCAATATATACAAAGAACATTCCAAATCTAAATCAAACATAAATAAGTTCAGAGAAGATGTGGCCAGGACTTTATTATTTCGAAATTGCTAGTATAACCAGCCTAACAACTGTAAAAGTTGCACATTTATTGAAAAAATCAGAGGAGAAAACTCGAAAACAATGTAAACTATGCTATATCAATATAAAAAAAGAAATATCAAGAACAGAAGCAAGAAAAAAAGTAAGAAAAGTACGAACATATTGCGATGGATGCGATGGGAAACCTGCGATGTGTCAAGACGTCAAGAGTGTCATATTAAAAATCATAGTGTCTAAGTTATCTATTTTTTCTTGTTAGTACAATAAGTTTGAAATAAAAATGTTTGGTTAAAATACAATACCTGGAATTTTATTTAGGCGCCGCCAGGTTTTTTAGACTTACAAAATCAAGCGCCGTTATCCAAATGGAGATTAAATATAATGTCAGTCTAAACAGCCTGACGAGGCCATGTATGATTCTGGTGCTGTCAGACATAAATGACTGCCGCCGCCAAATAATGCCTGACAGTATGTCAGTCATAAACGAGTGACAGCACAAAATAAAACAAGAATAAAATAGTATGCCGGCAGTCAGAGTATTAATATATACACACAGTCATTTGTCGACAAATAGATGACACAGTTTCACATAGATTAGCCTTGAAGACTTATCTCAAGACACAAAGAGCGATGCAAAATAACGCGAGGGTGAAAACAGCCTATTGACAAGTGCCAGATGTTTCTCTAAATCAATCAGCACTTGCTGGCACTTACCTATATAGTTCTAGATGACTGCTTGTTCATTAAAGGCTGCAAATGCATCAGAAAACGTGAACATAGTGTTTATTTGTGTTTGAGATTTTGTCTGACTAGGAGGTGTTTGTGTTAATTTTCAAAATGAAATATAATCTCAACATTGCAAATTGATGAGGTACTTGTCTTTGCAGAAATTCATCCTAATTTAGCTAAGGACAGTGTTGGGCTTCGATGGAGATCAAAGGAGACAATTAATAGGAAGTGGGACGAATTAGCGATATGTCTGAATACTCATGGATCTGGAGCTACAATGCTGGAGAAGGGTGAGTTTATGTTACATTTTGTTATTCATCCTTTTGTCATCGCTAATTCATAATTTTTATAATTGTGCTGAATCTTATTTTTCATGATAAGATTACAACCTTTTGCTATGGTCATTATTCTGTTGTATCCCTCTTTTCATTAGATAAATTCAAAAAAGTTATAGAAATTTTCATAGAAGAAAAAATGCAATGTTGATTAATAGAAAATTATCTTTTACAGTGTGATAGCACAATTGAAGGGGTTAGAGCAAAAAGGGTATAAGTGACATTTTTTAATTTTTGTGTTTATGTATGTGAAGTGAAACTTAAGAGTGTATTTTATCAGTGCAAAACTGGTATAACTACCGTTTGCAACTACTAGGGCCATCTGTGGGTAATCAAAAATACTCACTTAGTAATTCGACATTAGTCTAGAGGGCAGAATAGGTATAAGTGCACTTGTATCGTTTCTGCGCTGAGTTATTATGATTTCTTGTGACTGGTAAACATGTAGTAGTTTTTTGGTGTGCAACAGTTTTGAATGTTTTGGCGTATTTCTTCAAAGGACAAAGTTTTTGAAGTAGTGTGCTTTGGTTTGTGGGTTGTTTATAGTCTTTTTTTGAGATGGCTGCGACCATGGACAAAGGTAAGAGTGGAAAAACGGATAAATAAGTTTTTTTGCATTATTATTTTAATTTTTTAGATAACAACAACTCTGAACCAGATCCCTATGATACTGATGAAGGCGATGATTATGTTCCTGATGATCAATCTGATTCAAGTGAGAATGATGAGACTGAGCACGTTACACCAAGAAAAACAAAAAAGCGTAGAAAAAACATCGCTTTGTGGAAAAGGAATGAAAAAAAGAGACTCAGAACAGCAGGAAAGATGTATGAAGGGCACAAAGGGAAAATTCGTCCAGAGAGGAACCTTAGAACTTTCGTCCATACATGCAGGTATAGCTGTAGCAAAATGTCCGGGGCAGAAAGGCAAACCTTTTTTGATAAATTTTATAACATACCTACATATGACCTGCAAACAGCATTTTTAGCTTCTTGCATACAAAAATGCGAAGTTGTTAGACGAAGCCAAAGAGCAGAATGTAACCGTAGGTTTTCTACCAAAATTATGGTCTCAAATATGCGAGTTTGCAAAGCATTTTTCCTCAAAACGCTTGATATAAGCAATAGACGATTCACTACAGTATGCGCGAAAGTAGACAGATTCGGTATATGTGGAACAGATCAGAGAGGAAAAACTTCAAGTGCAAACAAAATGAATGAAAACATTCGAAATGTGGTTATTCAACACATAAAAATGTTTCCTAAATATAAAAGTCATTATTCCCGGAAAGACAATGTTAACACTCGTTACATGTCATCAGATCTTAATATAACAAAGATGTTTTTTTTTGTATAAAGAATACTGCAATGTCAATCAGAAGCCACTCGTCAAGTTATCTTACTGCCGTCACATATTCAACACAGAATTTAACCTTCGATTTCATAAGCCCCATAGTGATACATGCTCAAAATGCGACAAGCTGAACAATATCATCAAAAACTCAAATAATGAAAACGAGGTGAGTATTTCCAAAGTGAGCTTAGAGGTGCATCAGAGGAAAGCTCAAAAAGCATGTGAAATGAAAAAGATGGACGCTGAAAATAGTAAAGCCTTAGACGATACCATCGCAATTTGCTTTGATCTTCAACAGACATTACCAACGCCTTTGCTCACTACATCAAAAGTTTTCTACCTTCGACAGCTCTGGACTTACAACTTCTGCATACATAATCTGGGTACTGGAGAAGCTCGCATGTACACATGGGATGAAACTGTTTCTGGTAGAGGTTCCCAAGAAATAGGATCATGCTTGCTGCATTTTTTCAAGTCACTTCCATCAAATATCACAAAAATAATAGCCTACAGTGACTCATGTGGCGGGCAAAATAAAAATAAGAATATTTGCAAACTGTTTATGTTTGCAATAAAGGCCACCCATATTAAAGAAATTCACCACAAATTCCTGGAGCCAGGTCACACTTATATGGAATGTGACCGAGATTTCGCACTTATAGAGAAGAATAAAAAAAAGATTCCTCAAGTTTTTATTCCAAGCCACTGGAGGGAAGTAATTGCAGCTTCAAACAAAAAATTTATGATTCACAACATGACCAGAGAAATGTTTTTCTCTTTTGAAAAACTGAATAAAAAATAGTGAAAGATCCTAAGAAAGATGTAGACGGAAAGCCGATAAAATTCAAAGAAATTGCGTATTTTAAATATGATAAAAGCAATGAGGCATTTTCGTTTGAATCCAAACCAGTCTTAGATGCTTCATATCCATTCATAAAATGTGTTTCTGGGTCGCGTGCCTCTGGGCGATCATCATACTCGCTACAAAACTCATTCACACCACTTCACGGTACCTCAGTTCCGATAAAAACAGAAAAATGGAAAAATCTGCAGACCCTTTTGGATTATATACCTCCAGTTTATCATGAGTTCTATAAAAACATGAAACATGAAGATTTAAAAAAAAGGACTAACGAAAAAAAAATATGCCTGTACCAGCCATGGAATCTGGTCCTAGTTCTCGCGCATCGTTGAAGAGGAAGATGATGATGATGAGGAGCTGTTATCCGACTACGACGAATGATTAAAAACTATGATTGACAAGTATTGTTTAAATCAGTAAATAAAACTCGCATCACTTTTTTGTCTTATTGTGAGTCGATCAAGATTGAATTGGTATCTTGGTGCAAAACCGGTACAAGTGCTTCAAAATCACTTTTTTCTATGAACAAATTTTTTTTATACTTTGCTGGTTCACCAAACATTTCAATGATATTTAGGATTCTATTCCATTTGTCTAGATACATTTATGTTATTTGCAGAATTTTAAAATTGGAAAAATCTTTAGAAGCATTTTTCTCAGAAGTAACGCAGATGCACTTACACCTTTTTTGCTCCAAGCCCTTCAATTGTTCCCAAAAACTACCTTTTCACAATATTTTATCCAAAACTTTTTTTTATATAAGTAACTTGAGAAACGATGACGTTTATCCATTTTTGCAGTAATTCAATTCTTATTAGACGAGACTTTATATGAAACTCTTTTGTACTCTACTGGTAGAAAATAGTTTGTTTGATTCAATGTATTTGTATTTTTCCAAATAGTTGCTACCATCTTTTAATATTTGCAAACATAGTTTACACAGATTCCATGGGTTATTTTCTTGGATTAGTACTGTAGGTTATAATAAAGCATTTTGTTCCATGTTCCATATGGTTTTATTCATGTACTAATACATCTTTTTTGCAGAATTGCATAGACCTTAGACATAGGATACAATCTAGAGCTGCACAATATAGGCAGGATGCTACAGGTACTGGTGGAAGGTGCTAATGTTGATAAATTATCTGAATTAGATATGGCCATATTGGGAACAGCAGCAGTATTTGGAGATACTGAACTTCAAATTCCATTTAGTGTAAGTACATAACTCCTGAATAAGTTTAAATGGAATTAATTTTAATTAATGAAAAATCAATTTATATTCTCTATCTCTATTGCCCACTTAGTTAAACCACATTTAATTTGATTTTACTTCCTGGCACTCCACATCATCTTCTAACACTTGATCACAAGTACAAAGTTCTGCCTCAAATGGAAAAAATAAAAAAAATTATTTTAATTTTTCACTAGTGATGCTCTTGTTTTAGAATGAAAAATTGCATATGAATTCAGTTTCTACTTGGTATTGCTTCCTAACTTCAGATATTAATTAAAAGCTTTTTGATTTTCAGAACCAACTCCTTCATCTTCAGCTGTTGAGCCACCACCAGATATAGAATTACAAATAGCTAGGCAGGGTGCACGAAAGTTGTATGCAGGCAGAGACAGCATTAATACAACTTCAAAAATTTCACAAGAAATTTGGTCAAGCATCTAAAAACTTCAAACCTGATTGAAATTTAGAAGGGATAAAGTATTTTTATGATTATTGTTTACTTGTGTGACCTAATCTTTGTCATTTTAATAAAAGATATTTGCACAAATCAATTTACTATATTATTCCTATCGCTGTTGTGTAACAGTGCCCTATTTTTTTGTATTAAAACTACTTCTCTTAAATCATTTCATAAAAATCACTGACTTATTTTTTGTAATGGCACCTCCAATCCATAAATCATTTATAACTCTTTAATACAATAAACAGTTTGTCTCTCAACATATTTTTAAGACAATAAGATTTTTTTTATTGTATTTAAAATAATTGCTTTACAAATTGACGAAAATAAAATACGAGTGTCATTAAAAAAAATGTATTTGTACAAATGCATTTGATACATTTTCTAAAGAGAATTGGTGCCCATTAGAAATACATTTAGCGATTAGTACTAATCTTCACAAGTGGCGAAGTTCTAGGCTGTTTGAGTGATTATGGAACACCGAGTTTTTTTTGAAATTTTTACGATTGTATTTAGTACCATTAATGCTTAAATTGATAAAAAAAGTTGTGGGATCTATTACAAAAAGAAGGTCAGCAGTTTTATAACTATATTTTAAAAAGGCAGTGCTTTTTGTTACAAAAGCATCTTGCAACTTTTCTTGATGTTCACTCAAAGCATACTTTTAGGCTTGTTCCAAATCCTCTAAAATAGATATTGTTAAATATGGACATGTGAAAATAAACCTTCCTAGAAAACTAATTCTATAAACATTAACTTTTTCTTTACAGTGGTTGATAAAACCTTTTTAAAGCAGAGCTATCATTAAGCATAAGCATATGACAATGAACATTATTTCATGGAAATTTAAAATGTTCGATACAGTAGATAATACAAATTTTAATACTCCTGTGCATCACCCTATGGTATTTCTGGTAAGACCGATTCTTAATGGATGTCCAGAGTTACCTGTAAAAATATATCTTTCATTATTACTCATATTCAAGCAGGCATATAACAATAATTACAACTAAAGTAAAAAAAATCAAAGTGAATATTAGTGCTGAAATCGGTATGTTGCCTAAAATATGTGAAATATTAAGACTCGGATTTGTTGCTGTATTGTTAATCTTACAGATAATGAGTCTGAGGTATTGATCCTAGGATCGATGAATATTGACTTATTACTCTTGTTAATAGGAAATTTCAACTTCCACAGCGACGGAATTTTTATCAGGTAATGTAAACTTCCATGTGTTGAAAATTTTTGATGTAGCTGAACTCATTAGTTATAATTAACAATAAACCTGTTGTATACTCATTCGTCATTTCGAATAAATGATCACTTCCATCCACAGACTCTGATAAAGTGATATTATCATTAGTAATAATAAATTTTAATTCGTATTCCTTCGTAATTAATCACTGAATAGAGACTATGGGTAATTATTTACAAAAATTGAAGGTGCGTAAACTCAATTAGGAACGTCAAATTTTCAAAAACATCGTGTTTGGCGCCAACCTACACCAGCTAAGATATCTCAGACGAAAATGTTAATAGTGGAAGGGGGGAGGTAAGATTATAAGTTGTATCAAATCGTAAGCGTCACTCACAAGGGCGGATTCAGGATTTCGTCTCGGGGGGGCGCAAACGATATTTGGGGCCATCATTTTTTAACCTTAGTGGAACTTCTAGAATTTACCTCATTATTGCGCCTTAAATCCATTGTGTTCTATCTGGTCAAGGCCAGCTTGAAAAAACATGGAAAATGCTCAGAAAGACAATATTTTATCATATGAGAACAAAATATGTAAGTGGCATGTATAATTACCTAGTGTAATAATATTAAAGATTCAAACATAAAAAAACTTATTGCTGGTAACAAAAAAAAAAACATTCTGAGGGACTCCGAGACATATCCCAGTCCATTCCACACAAAACACTGTTTTTGATTGCGAAAACGAACACGACATGGTTAGGATGGGAGGTCAAAGTCAGGCGGGTCTGTCTAACATAGCTGCCACATCGCGTGGCGGCATCATGGAAGAGAGCGCGTACAAGAGAGCTAGATAGCCGACGGCCCGCCTGTGCGAAAGGGTCCCGAGATCGATCAGTTGGACAGCCCTCCTCTGGTCAGCACCGAGCATGGATAATGTACTCGGGGCGGCAGCACCCCAAATGTGTGAGCAATACTCGAGGCTAGGTCTTATCTGGGCCTTGTATATAGTGAGAAGGTCATGCGGAGAAAAGTACTTTGGCAGAGCTCGGCCATCCATCGAAACCGGATAAGCTTTAGGACGCTTTTTGTTCATCAAGGTACATTACTGTGTTTTGGCAGCATTCAACTGTACAAGATTGTTGCGTCCCCAAGCAGTGATAACCTCCAGGTCTCTCGTCAGAGAGGAAGTCGTCGCTAGTCTTCTATTTTTCAGCTCAGCGGCAGAGATCGGCTGTCACTCTGAATTCCTGCATGTAGAGTGCTGTCATCAGCGAAGCTGTGGATTGGGTTGATCGTGCAGGAAAGGAGGTCGTTGATATGTAAGAGAAACAGTGTCGGAGCCAAGACGATCCCTGGGGATCAACCCCGTTGTACGTTGTGGGATGAAGAGGAGAACCCGTCAATTACGACGGATATCTTGCGGCCAGAGATAAAGTCAGCCACCCATCTGCAAAACTTTTCTGGGAGACCATAGGATGGAAGTTTGCTTAAAAGAGCAGCGTGTCACAGCTGATCGAACGCTTTCGTGATGTCAAGAGCAACGACATAAGCCTCACCATAAGACTGGATGAGTTTACTCCACAATTGCGTGACGTAAGCTAGGAGGTCCCCTGTGGATCGCTGGTGCCGGAAACCATACTGCCTGTCGCTAATAATCAAGCTGTAACGTTCGCGGTAGGCCAGAAGCTCGCGATTTAGGCACATCTCCATCACCTTTTATAACAGGAATCACAGCTATAGGCCTGTAGTTGTAAGGGTCGGTCTCAGATCCCTTTTTTGCGATGGGTTAGACATGAGCGAATTTAGAGTTTTCTAGGAAGGTGCCAGATTCATAAGGTATCTGGAAGAAACGCGAAAGAATTGGAGCAAGCTTCGGTGCACACCTCCCCAGTACAATGGCAGGAATCATGTCCGGTCCAGAAGCTTTGTTGATGTCGAGCGACAAGAGCACTCGTTTTACGGTCTTATACCTGACTGTTACTTCCCGCATAGTGTAGGGAACCCTTTGAATTGACGACACTTGGGCGGTGGAGTCGGCAGCAAAGATCTTGGCAAGGACATCCACCTTGGCCTTTGAGTCCGATACAATCGTTCCATCCTGATGTATTCCTCCATTCCGACGTGGATAATTTTGGTTATCGAAGAACAGACAGCCGACGCATCCGCGACAGTGAAACAGACATCTCTCCAAGGAAAGGTCGAAAAGAGGTCCCTGAGCCCCTCAAAGTCGGCATGTCCGTAATGCCAAATTTTGCGGCCTGTGCGAGTTTCTGCTGCCACAGCGTGGTCAGAAAAAGATCCAGCAGGCTACAGGCATGTGACGAGAGGCGGCGGAAGAAAGTAGGACCCGTCACCAGCTGAGTCAGCCCTTGAGTAAGAGCGAACGCTTGAACAGCTGCATCAGTCTCGTTTGAGTCCAACCAAAGCAAATTATGGTCATTGAAATCACCGAGGAGAACTACCTGTGAAGCGGGGTGAGCGATGTTAAGGAATTTAGGGCACGACAGTGGGATGGGGCCGCAGAAGAAAGAATGGAGAAAGCTTCCAGGAGCCCAAGGAAAGATGGTGAAAGCTAGTAAACTGACAGATGGGACTTGGACGGATCAAAATCCGTGCAAAAATGACCCACGTCAAATGTTTAGAAATTCATCTCGACAACTATTTGACCTACGAAGATGAAGTTCGTATGTATTGGAATCTTGACACCAAAGAAAACATCTTGGAAAACATATGATTGAAGTGGTGTTTAGAACGACCGATTCAATTCCGTTGGCATATTCGATCATTCCACATGAAAATTGCTTTAAGAGTAGGTACGGCACAATTTTCTATACGTAGTCGTGCCATAAGTTCTGTCCCATGATAGTCTCATGATAAAAATGAAACAAGATAAGATATATTTATATGAAAGATATTATTTATTCGACAACATTTTTAGAATTCATAATCAAACAGTTTTATTCAAAATGTCCCCCCTTGGCCTTCACACACTGCTTGAATCTCGCGGGCCACTCATCTATCACTGCACGCACAGCTTCCAAAGGAATAGCTGCCGCTGATCGGATCAAATCCGCTTTCAGGGACTCGATATTACGGTGGGCTTTGGAGCAGGCCAACTGCTCTAGCAGGTCCCACAACTTGTAGTCTAAAGGATTGAGGTCCGGACTCCCTGAGGGCCAATCTTCCGCAGCAATGAACTCTGGCACATTGCTTTCCAGCCAGCGCTGCGTACTCTTAGCCTTGTGAGCGGGGGCGGAATCCTGCTGGTAGACCCAGTGTTGGTTGGCAAACAATGTACCACTTAAAGGCTTGATGATAGGATCCAGTATGTCGCTCTGATAGTTTGCCGCTTTTGTTTTCACGCCCTGTTTACAGAAATGGAGCTGAGTGACCCCTTCGTAGGACACCCCCCACCAAACCATGACTGACGCAGGGTGGTGGCCTCTCTCAACTCTCGGAATGATCTCCGAAGCTTCCTGTGAACTCCTTGCATACACTTTGTCATTTTGTCGGTTGAATTTTTCTTCTATGGTGAAGATTTTCTCATCCGTGAACAAAATCTTTCGGAATCCCCCAGCTGCGTACCTCTCCAAGAGCTTCTTGGATCTTGTCACCCTGATGTGCCGCAAGGTGGCCGTAAGTCGCTGGCCCGTACGTCTCCGGTAAGCCCCTAGCCCTAGGTCTTGTTTAATGATGCGCGACATCGTCCGGACAGGAATCTTCATTTCCCTGGATAGGATCTTCTGCTTCCGGAGTGGATTCCTTTGAATCCTGGCTTTTACGGCTTTGATGGCTGCTGGAGTCCTTACTTGACGAGGTCTTCCGCTTCTTGGCCTGTCATCAACAGAGGACGTCTCATTGTACCGCTGAATGGTCCTAGACACAAATTTACGCGATATTTGAAGGCCGCGTAAGAGTTCAAAAATCTGACTAGCACTGTGATTACACTTATGTAAAGCTATCACTGCAATACGGTTCTCTGCGTACGAGCAATACTCATCGTCACTGAACGTCTACGAGTTGACAGCTCTGGATCGACTCGAACAGATTCACTCACTTCCTCGATTCTTTGATCCGTTCGTACTGTCCTTGACGTCTTGTTGGCAATGTCGAACCGGTTTCTTGAAACCTGCTCAACCACTGATTTATTAAATTAGTGCTACGGCACTGATTAATACGCCGCAATCCATATTTGATTCGAAATAAAAGTCAAACAGTGAAGGCGTCCTGTTGCCCCGTCAATTGACTCATGGCTACTGAAAATTCATGAATCATGCAATCGAACGGTACCGCCCTCCAGCATTTCCACCCGCGTTTTGCGGTTTTATTTGAAACACAAAAGTGAATTTTGTAAAACATTGTAATCTTCAAAAATTATGAATAATTTAAAATATTCCATGTCACTGATCGCACTTACCAGGTACTCATCGGAGATACCCCGATTAATTAAGTTTAATTCCCTTTTTGTATGTACAAGAATAATAAAGGGGTATCGGTTAGCTGGTGCCATCCGGACCCGGGCTGACCTACGAAGGCCAGTTTTGTCACCTAAAAGAGGATGAAAAAAATTACTCAGAAAAAGCATGGTCAAAGGGGAAAAGCTAGAAGTAGGTGGCGCTAGTTTGATTGACAGATTGACCTCCAACCACATTAGCGCCGCCTAGCGGAAGCAAAATTAGAGATGCCATTAAACAAGCTTGTGGAGGATTTTCATTAACCTGTATGTGATTTTTAATTTAATTTACTGATAGCAGCTAAAATGAAATATATGTATATTAAACTGCTAGATTCCTTGAAAATTGCAAACCACGTTCTATTGAACTGTAAGTAATTTATGTAGAAAAACTATAACTGTAACAAACCTTTTACTTCTAGTAAATTTTTAAAAAATACAAAAATATCGACTGCAGTAACTGAAAATGGTGAATTTTTAATTGCGCTGTATTTTAAGCTATAGCTCGTGAAAAAGAAATATCAAACTGAAAATTATCAACTAAAATCCGCAATTTTGATTTTATAAAATTTTAATACAGCCAGTTTCACTCACACTGTCAAGATGAATCTAACAACACCTCATATGTCAAAATTCATCAAGTCGTTTAAGCTGTAGCTCGTAAAATTTTTCGGATACCTACCCACGCGGGAAAAACATTACCTTCCTTCTGACAATCTTGTCTTGTAATAAAGACAGACAAATTACTTATTTAAAACGCGGACTTCGGAAACCTCGCCTGTTTATTCGTGAATACTTGGGAGTCAACAGGCGCAGTCCCGGTAACCGGATTTCAACTGGTCATTTTCATTTTCAATGCCCGTACCTACTGTGACATTCGAATTTTTCCGTTACTGGTGTAGTGGACGTTAAGTGGATCAATGATGATTAGTCAAAAGGTGAAACACAAGACTCAAGCATGAGATGCTTATAGAATCATGAATTAACAAGAACTTTGTAAAGTCTTTTATTCAAACATATTTGGGCGCAATGAAGTATATATATTATATATATATATTATGTGTGTGTGTGTGACATGCGTTTAGATTTTAGGTTATGCAATCCGTGATAAATCTGATAGGAAAAATAATCTGATTCAGAATCTTTGTATAATTTAATTCAAAAAGGACCTATTTTAGCTAATCTGTAATATAGTTATGACAATCAAGTTTTCAAAGATTTCCAGCATAAAACTTTTTTATTAAAAAACAACTTGCAAGGACTTCGAAGTTGAGTCATTTATTTTAACAGTGAGTAGATCTGATCAAAAGAAATGTTTTTTTCCTTTACCATTTTTCTGGTAAAATTAAAGTAACAAAGTTATAGCCATTTGGAAGTTTGAGTACCGCCCTGTCTCAATAATAATATTATGTGCTCGTGTTTGGCGACAACGGATATAATTCGCCTTATCGGTTCATCGCATCGGAAACAAAAAAGCGAAAGAATTTGGAACGATGTTTTTACAATTATTTCATTCAGTTGTATACAGCCAGTGTCAGTCGGTAGTGGATAGTGGTGTCTGTTGCGTGGCTCAAACGAAATAAAAAATGGCACATGTTTATGCGGATCGGTTTCCCAATCGAGTGCAACCAACCCCTCGTGCCTTTGTTAATGTAGTACAACGGGTTCGTGAATCATTTGACTTAAGACCTCACATATGGACGGCATGCCGGTGCTCCAAGACCTCACGATCAAATACAGGTCCGCACTGAAATACTTGTCGGGAGGATACTTTATAAAACAAGGTAAACATTTTTTTTTATTTTTACACACATATTTTGGTTTATCTTCCTTCTACAATCATTATCTGAAAATTAATGACTCAACTTCAAAGTCATCCTGTATATATATATATATATATAATGTGTGTGCACTGGGGATTTTACATTCCGTAAGCAATACAATACAAAGTCGTTTATGAAGGCAAATTTGCTCATTTAGGTAACTAATAAAATGTTACTTAGATAGTTTGGCAAATTGGAGCATTTTTGGTGACAGAAAACACGAAATTTACCTTGAATCGTTTATTTTCTCCTGGTTCACCGCACGGGTATTACGTATCTTGAAATATGACATGAGGTCGGTTTTCTTTGACATAACATAGGTTTTTCTACAAGATGTTAACTTAGCACTAACTAGCTGGTGGCAACTTGTGAATTCGTTTTATAGTTGTACGTGTTGTAATGATTCATCAGTTATCAGTGTTTAGCTGTGATGTGATGTAACATCTGCTTCAGAGATGGCATTATTGGAGGTTTAAGCTGCAAGTCGAATACTGTGCTAATAATCTATGTTGATAATTCCATCGGTTTCTTGTCTCAGATACACTTACTTGAGATGTATTCGAAGCTAGAAATTAGTTGCGAATCCACTTATTCTTATTTATTCTGGAGAATAAAAATGCCAATTTGCACAGTTTCAAAAAATGAGAGAGATAAGAAAAGAAAATCCTTAGTTGGTAAAAAGAAAATCCTTAGTTGGTAAAGTAACAGGTGAGAAAATATGCTATAGATAGGAATATTTATGAAAGTGAAAAGGTTATTACATTATTTTTTATTTACAATCATTTAAACTTTATAGAAATGTATGTTGCGATGTCAATAGAAAAAACAAATCAGCGCCTAGACGTGAGGCACTGCGAAAATGTTTGATGTGTGATGCGTCATTCCTAATTTTTCTTTGATGTGGTTAAATTGCTCATAACGCGGGCGCGGTGGCTATTTTCCGTAATGCCTCAAAGTTTTTGAAAACAAAAAAAAAAACGTCATTTATAACTTTGTACTTAACCTGTCTTCAGAAAGAACAACATATAACCAACCCGTCGGGCATATCTAATAGATACTACTCAACCAACTTGCTTTCTTTCACATCTTCTCAGAGATAAACACTACACACTACTCGGCTTCACAAAACATAATTAATATACTTGCTCACAGCAGTCATAGCGAGCAAACGTGGAATGAACTACTTGCACCCTAAAAACTACCTAGTATGCAAGATGACATTTTGTCGGTTTCTTTTTTGTCGTTTTTTAGGTTTTTTACAAAACAACCGTGCCGGTCTGGTTCGTGTGACAATACATAATGAATAAAGAGATGTAGCTTACTATTCACATATTTACGATTCCACTTCTGTGAGGCTTTGATTTTTTCTATGTTTTTCAATACATTTTGCCTTGTTTCACTGGGTTCGTTCTTTAGGGTGCTTCAGTTTTTGAAAATTGAAGGAACAATATTCTCTTTCAATTTGGATATTTAAATTGTACCATCCGTTAAATCGATATTTTCTGTCTTCATCATGTCTGATTCCCTAAAACGCCGACTGCACACAGCTGAATATTTTGAAGGTATACAACTTTTTCCATGAATATAGCCACTAGGCACCTGATTTTTAGATTCATCGTAAGTTTTAACGGCAAATGTACGAAGGAATCTAAGATGTGTGACATACTGTTGGACCAGCGAAAGATTGCAAGCCGAAAGAATGCGGACAAAAAATTGCGAAGTTGTCAGATGTTCTACATAAAATGCGGTCCATACATATTAACATATTTAAGATATAGAATTGTTCCGCTGAATTTGGCAATGTAGCTGGAAAACCCAGGCCGCAGGTAAACATCCGGTCGCTGATTGGTCCAAAACTCTTATCTTATCTGAAACTAGAATAACGTGCCGATGGCACGGTCATTTATAAACCTACTCCCATAGGCGTAGGCAGTTGGCAAATACTTTGAAAATATAATTTACTGTTTAGTGGTGATAATGGAATTCAAGCATGGGAAAGTTATTCACAGCCAGGCAAGGGAAATAATAGCAAACGTGATACGTGCTTGCGATGCAGAAGCGGCTAACAATACTTTCGTTTATCCACTGGTAGCTAGAAATGCAAGGGCGGCATATTATACGGGTGTTAGTGAACGAACTATAAGTAAAATTAGAAAAGAAGATAAAGACAGGCAAAATGCAACCTCCACACAGCCTTTAGCTTCTCCCGGAAAAAAGAGATCACGCCCTTCTGTGATCCAAAAAATTGATGGAGTCGATTTTTCCATTATTCGGAGAATGATAGAAAAATTTTACTGTGATTTTAAAGTGGTACCTACTTGTAGTAAACTTCTAATCAAACTGAAGGAAGAAATGGAATTTCCATTTGGTAAAGAATCGTTGAGGCTGCTTTTAAAAGCAAAAGGATTTTACTGGCGTAAATGCCACAACAAAAGGAAATTACTAATGGAAAGACCCAGTATTTTACATTGGCGATACAAGTATCTTAGGTCTATTAAAAAGTTCCGGGAAGAAGGAAGGCATATTATTTATTTGGACGAAACTTGGGTTGATAATGACCTCACTTTCAAGAAATGCTGGCAAAGCGAAGAAATTATGGGTGTCCTGAGCAATATAAGTTCTACAGGTAATAAAGTTTCTTTCACCTCGATTTTGCTTATTATACATTTTTCTCAATTTTGGAATATTCTTAATAAGTGCTCATTTAATTTGTCTAATTGAATACATAATCCCTTGCAAGTATTTTTTTCTCAAAAATATGTTTTTTATACATAGTGATTCAAAAAGGTGTTGGCAAACTTAAAATAACACTAAAATGAGGCTATTTATTCATTTCCAGGACGACTTATAATTGTTCATGCGGGTTCGCAAGATGGTTTTGTTCCTGGAGCCTGTCTCATTTTCAAGGCTGGCTGTGCCACTGGTGATTATCACGGTCAAATGAACCAAGAAAATTTCACGAAGTGGCTTACTGAAAAACTATTTCCTAACATTCCTCCTAATAGTATTATAATAATGGATAATGCACCTTACCATTCAGCTTTGGAAGACAAGCCTCCAACTAGATCTTCTCTAAAAAGAGACATCATCACGTGGTTGAGCAAAAAAGGTATAGAGCATGATCCTAATGCTAAAAAAATGGAGCTTTATGAAATAGCTTGTCTACATAGGCCACCATCTGATGAGAAAAATTATAAGATAGATAATTTAATAAGAAGTTTCGGACACACCCCACTTCGAACGCCACCCTATATGTGTCAGTTTAATCCCATAGAGATGATTTGGGCACAAGTAAAATTTTTCATTAGAAGCCATAATACAAGCGGCGAATTTACTATAAAAAAACTAGATGAAATTTCTAATAAGGCCATCGCTTCAGTAAGTGCCAGTGACTGGCAAAAGGTTATTGGACATGTTATAAAAATTGAAGATGAATATTGGGAAAAAGACAGTCTCATTCAAGAAATACAGGAAGAAATAATAATCAACATAGGAGGTGAAAGTGATAGCAATGACAGTTCCTCAGACAGTGATCATGACTCTAATCAGGATTGAAACTATACTAGATTGGCTACCTTTTAGAATTTTTAGATATTCATTTATTATACTATTGGTTTGTGGCTTTTAGTATCTCAGTAGAAAGTCTAATTCTATGTGTTGTTTATGGGTTATTTCATCAAGAAATTACTTTTTGTTTTCCTATATTTTTCTATTCAGTCAGATATTTTTGACTTGTTGTATTCTATTTTAGAAGAATGCATAATTTGTTTTGCTGTTCAATCATAATGCGTACATAGGAATATTACTTGTTGCCTAAAAAATATATTTATTTTGTTCTCAATATTCAGTGTTTGTGTATATTTATTTCTTATAATGTATGTTTGGTATCACGTCATTATGAATCGCAAAAAAATATTAATACTACCAGTTGTAATAAAATATAAATTCAATTAATAATTCAAGTCTCTCCGATCTCCGCCTATGACTCCATATAAAATCGTCTAATGGTAAGGTTTTTTCATCGCATTTCCCCCTTTCGTCCCTAGCAATCTTTGGCTGGTCGATCAGTATGTCTAATAGCTGCGTAGCATAACCGGGGTTTGTAGCACATAAATATACCAACAACAAAGAATTCAGATATACCCTTGTTCATCCCATACGACTCACAAGTTTATAAAGCTTTTTTGTTACTGCCACAGTAGTAACCTTCTCTGAAATTTTCTTCCAAATCCGAGCAGTACGTTCCAAGTTATAGACGAATTAAGGATTATCGGACAGACAGACCGACCGACGAAAATGAGTGACATGGTTTTTCGTGATGTACGTTATATAACATCGAAAAAACATATCTCGTTTGCGAAATTTTTCGCAATTACAATACTTCCTCAACACTAGGCGTGCGAAGTAAAAGGTGATTTTCGATTAACAGGTTGTCTTTCTGGATTTTTAGAAATCTTTCATATATCCAAATGCAGAATGAAATCTATTAAAGGAATTTGAATAAAAGCTATTTCTTTTTTTAAACCCAATATCCAAATATATTTTCAAATCTAAATAAAATAATTCACTAGAACTATGTAAAAAGTTATACCTGTATCTATACTAATTCATTCACGATTCAAGACAATATATGTAATTAAACAGGTACTGAGGGCAGCTACTCATTTTAATACACCAATTTTATATAAATTGGTGTAACTAATAGTTTAATTTTAATTAAACAAGTTTTATAGAAGCAGGTAAACTGTCAAGTTTTCAAACTGGTGTAATTTAAATTTTACTTAAATCTGTCCAACTTTTTTCTCAATGCACGATTAAAAATGCAACATCACTAGATTTATAATTAATATAGTACGATAAGATACTTACCACCTAAGGGCCGCTCTAGGAGAGTTTTCGCTCTTTTCGGCGCTTCAGGGGATACCTGGACTGGAATCTGAAAATGTTAAAATATATAGTGTTCTGATTTTTTTTTTTTAGAAAGAGTACGCTTTGAGCGTTTGGCACAAATTCACTACATACTTCAAAACAGACATGAAGGGTATCAAAAGATGGTATTTTTCAACATTGAATAACCAATAGCTCAACAACTAATAATAAAAAACCCATAATTATTGTGCTTTATAATTTTTCTTTTAAAAGGACCTATCCAAATATGTAATGAAAAGTAGTTCTATTGAAGAAATCAGTTTTGATATGTGGATCAAAATTGAGATACCCTTTATAAATGTGAATAGAAATGTGCCTCAGATATTATGAATAATAAACCATGAACAGTTTTCTTTAAAAAAAAATTGTGTAGAAGCAATACTCCTTCCCCACACAGCTAGGAGTATAGATGAAAATGAGCAGGAGACTCTCGAACATGAAAAAACGAATGATTTTACGTTTATTATACAGGGTGTTTCAGAACTATGGGATCAAACTTGTAGGGGTTATTCAGTGTAACAGTAGAAAACATTTGAGTATAGGGACCCATATCCGGAAAACTGTCACTACGGCCCTAAGACCCGTTAAAATTTAGAAAGACGGGTTATTTATGTGTTGACCTTTCTGAAGACAGGTTATGTTCAAAGTTATAAATTACGATTTTTCCCGTATTTTGTTTTTTCAAAAACTTTGAGGAGCATTACGGGAAATCGTCATCGTCAGCGTTGTGTGCAATTAAGCCCCATCGCAGAAAAATTAGGAATGATGCATCACACATCAAACATTTTCGCAATGCCTCACATCTAGGTGCCGATTTGTATTTTCTATTGACATCGCAAAATAAATTTCTATAAAATTTAATGACTAGAAATGAAAAATAATGAAATAACCTTCCGCATCTCTCTCATTTTTGAAATTCAGCAAATTTGCATATGTAATTTCCAGAATGAATAAGAAAAAGTGGATGCGCACCTAATTTCTAGCTTTGAATCTCAAGTAAGCGTAGTTGGGACAAGAAACCAATGGAATTATCATCAACGCATATTATTAGCACTCAAATCCTCACTATGTACTTATATGCTGCCGTTTTCTTCTAGCTATAGTATACAATTCACAGCTTATAATCACGACGTTTAGGCAATACGTAGTAGTATGTATATGACTTGTAATTCGACAGTATACAGTGAATATAATCATTTCTCATGACATTTAGGCAACACGTACAACTACAAAACGAGTTCACAAGTGTCCATCAGCTAGTGCTACTGATTACCTACTAACCGCTATAAGTAGAAATCACAAATGACATGACTGTTGGAATGCATGGTACAAACTAAATGTGATGATTAAGTGTGCTGTATGCACGAAGGCATTTAAACATTCATGCGTGTATTTGAGAATCGATGAGATCAACATATTGAATAATGAGAACAAAGGCTACTTACTCATGGTCATGCACTAGTTGTAGAAATATTAACACTAAAATCAATGATTTGAAGAATTTAATACTGTCACTTCAATAGGATATAAAGCCAATAAAAGCTAAAAATGCTGCGCTGAAGCCTGTTGCTAGGGATTGTATAGAATTTGAGGAGGTTGTCGAGATAATCAGTAAAAGGAACTCTCGCAAACGAAATATCACCATGTTCGGCTTGTCAGAGCAGAACCAGACAGACATATGTCTCACGTTCAAGATGTCTTGAAGGTGCTTAAGACCAGTGTGCAGGTGCAAGATCTGAAACACATCAGACTTTGCCGCTTTGATCAAAATAAACGCCGTCCTATAAAAACGACTACCTGATAAAGTTGAAGTTATGAATATCATTAAGAATGCTAAATAAATGTCTGACACATTCAAACATGTGTCAATTTGCTTTATTCGCACCCGTAGGCAGATCAAACATTATAAGGAATTGCAGGAAGAACTTAAGAAAAAAAATGCACAAGGTCCTGAAAAGTTTAGAATCGAATATATTAATGGTACCCAAGCTGCTCAGGAATTTAAACTGACAAATTTCAACAGTTTCAGTAGTATAAAAAAATCTATCAATGTATATTACCAGAATGTACGTTTAATAGTAAGATGATGGTAAGGTGGATGTTTTTTATTTTTTGGCAAGTGACTGTGAATTTGGCGTTGAGTGAGACCTGGCCAAGTGATAGTACTTCCAACTCGGACTGTTTTCCGAATCTTTACAATGTCTACAGAAAAGACCGTAAGTTTAATAGGATTGGCAAGTCTTCTGGTGGTGGTGTTTTGTTAGCTGTTAAGGACTTTATGAATTCAGAGACTTAACATGTTACTTCTTTTGCTTTTTTATTTTGAAACAGTTTACATAGTCACTGTATATATACCAGACAAAATGGATACTAAGGACTTTGAATCGTTCTTTGGGTGCCTTGAACAACTTGATTATCTCAACTGTAATGCCACAATACTTTTAGGCGACTTCAATGTACCGCGATTTATCAATAACGATCTTGTTGCCGCTAAAACCCATTGCACTCAAAAGTATTTAGCTTTACTTAGCCTACAACAATATAACAATGTTCAAAACAGATTAAACCGTCTGCTAGATTTAGTTGTTTCTCATCCGGAACTTTTGATAAATATATCAGACATATTCACTAGGGATGTTACGATTTAGGTTCAATTTATCAAACAAAGTGCATAATTTCAGAAAAGCTGATTTCCCGTTGCTTTATAGAGTGTCTGAAACTGATTGGAGTGCTATAAAAAATTCTGACGACATTAATATTGCCTTAGATGAATTTTACTTAATATTATATCGTATTATTGACAAATATGTTCCAGTTTATAGAAATTATCGTTATTAATATCCACTTTGGCATGATTCTAACATCATTAAAGATATAAAACAAAAAGCAAAATACAGACGGAAGTTTAAACGGCTTGGATATCGCTCAGACATTTTGGAATTTCAGCGTCTGCATGCTACACACTTTCTCAGTCTCAGAATAGTTAATGCTTTTGGTAATTTCTTCAGCAGCGTTTAAAAGAAATCTGCTTCGACTGGTGACGCATTTAAATAGCAAAGTTTCTGACTATCAACAAATTAAAAGACGATATGACTTCGGGTCTGGATTTAATCACTTCATTTGTAGTGAAATACTGCTACAGTGCTGGTACCTATACTGACTGTTCTATTCAATTTAAGCTTAAGATCAGGTATTTTTCCCGCGCAATGGAAAATGCCAAAGTCTGTCCTGTTTTTAAAAACGGTGATAAATGTAACGCTGAGCACTATCAGCCCATATCCCTTATCAGCATTGTTGCTAAGGTCTTTGAAATTGTTTTATATAACCGCTTGTATCCATCAATCAATAATCAAATATCACGTCAGCACGGCTGAGTAATAGATCAACAGTTACGAATTTAGTTATTCTGACACAATACATATAATATATATATATATATATATATATATATAAAGAGAAAATGATCATGCGGAGAAAGGTATATAACAAAAAAGTAGAAAAATAATGGGCAAAATCCGCGAAAGAGGAAACTTTCCTCTTTTTTGCGGATTTTGCCCATTATTTTTCTACTTTTTTGTTATATACCTTTCTCCGCATGATCATTTTCTCTTTGTAGATCCTTTGGGCTTGAAGTACCACAGCAAGTGGCTATAACCGGCCGCGTGGTTGTGGTTAGATGTCTCCTTGAAAATTCGAGGTCTTCTAGCCATTTTATACTACAATGTGTAGGTTGGCTCTTGTTGTGGACTTCGTGTGTCGTTTTTTTCCTCTCCATCTTCGTTTCGTCAGGTTACTCCCGTATCCGGATGTGTGGGCACGTGTATCTACTTTTGTAGTTTCATATGTGCATTCATTCCGGGCCTGATGAAGCCAACCAGCAGAAATACGTATCGCTCGGGTTATCCATCCTATTTTCTGCTCGAATCCACTTTCCTCTTTTTTGCGGATTTTGCCCATTATTTTTCTATCGGAATACTTAGATAACAACAGTCGAGTAGACGTTATTTATACCGATTTTCCAAAAAATTTTCGACAAAATTCATCATACAATGGCGTCAAGTCCCAAGCACACTCAACTTCATCTGGTGTGCGCAAGGGGTCTAACTTGGGACCTGCATTGTTTTTACTATGCGTTAATACCTGTGCGAGAATTTGAGCTGTGATCATTTGTCTTTTGCAGATTATTTGAAGATATACGCTTCAATCGACGACATACAGGATTGTTTAAGCTTGCAGATGCAGTTGAGTTTTGTAACGATTTGGAACGCAATAAATTACATCTTAATACGGACTCGTGTAGGATTGTAAGCTACACTACGAGAAAGACTACTTATTTTTATAATTGTGTGTAATAGCGTTAAGGAATTCGGAGTCATTTATGATGAAAAACTAACTTTCAATGCTCACATTTCCTTGAAAGTATCTGAAGCTTCAAAGTCCTACGGAATTCTTGTCAGAAATTGTAGGCAATTCTATAATATAAGAGCTCTGAAGGTCTTATATTTCACTAACGTGCGCACTAAACTTGAGTACGCAAGTATTGTATGGAACCCATATTACAGAATTACAGATGCTACGTGAATGACATTGAAAAAGTACAAAAGAAGTTTTTGAATTTTTGTATTTTAAATCTTAAGGGATTAATCTGCAGCAAGGTATCACTAACGTGGAATTATGTGAGCGTTTTGATGTCAAAGCATTAGAGTTGAGAAGGAATATATCATCTGCAATCTTTCTTTTTAAATTATTAAATGACGAAATTGATTGTCCTGAAATTTTGTCTCAATTAAATTTTAATGTACCTGCGTTTACATCATGTAACTATATCATATTCAAACCTGCACGAGCCAGAATCAATCTTTTAGTAAAATCGCCAATCCTCGATAATGTGTAAATACCTAAACGCCATTAGCTGTCATTGTGACATATTTCTATTTTCTCTTAAAGAATTAGTTGAGATGGCGTATATGTACGTACGCTAATCCTATTGTTTTTTGTCTTTTTGGTTTCTTTTACCACCGTGCTTGATTTCTTTTATTACTTGTTATTATCATTTAATTGTCCTATAAGTGGTGTTACTGTTGAACAATAAGGCTATTATTATTATTGTGTATTTATTAGTCATACTTGCACCGTATCTAGGCTGGGGCATGAAGCATTAGGTTGAGTCCTCAACATCTACAATCGATAGTTGTCGGAAACGGTAGATACAGATAAGAATGAGAATAGGGTTCCAGCACCGCACAGTGTACAGTATCATTTTTAGGACGGTGCAGTGTATTGTCAGTTTGTGGTGACCGCTCCACAGTGGTAAGAAGTGCCCAAGTGCAACGTGTAGGCGTTAGTGACGGGTAATCTCGAATAGTTCCAAATATAGCTGCTTTCTGATCAGTGTTCAAATTACGGAAAAAAATACTGATTGTCTAAGAAACGTAAGCTGCATTTGGCTGAGTTTTATCACGTCCTGCTTATGTGAAAAAATCAACCAAAGGTGACACACACGTATGAGTAGTTTAGTCCATAGCGGTAGTACCAACCTTTACGTTGGCAGGAGGAAACTACAGTCTCCCGGCATGTCTGAATGCCTGTGTTTGCATATAAGAAGAAAACCAAGAAACACCCACCACATGAATAGGGTGTATTAGCTTTCCACATGTTTTTTCGTGCCTGGTTGTTAGTAATTATCAATACGGTAAAGGTATAATCCATTGGCGACAGATTAACGAAACTGCTCATAGGTGGCGTTTCCTTTATTTTTCGTGCATTACAATAACGAACGAGTTGCTTGCTTGCTTTCCGTCATCAGTCTCCAAATTACCTTCACCGTACCAACGATTGCTAAAAAGTATGAAACATCGATGTGTACTTTTGGTTATGGTCGCACAGACGGAAAGCAAACAGATCCTATTCAGCTTGAACCTAGATTTTTTCAAATTAAGTCAGCCTAGAAGTAAAAGTGTGTTTTGTCTATAATGTTATATTTAAAATATGAATAAATGTTAACAAAGAAACCCAGAAATCATATCCTTGAGATAGGGTAGAAAAAAGTTGAATATTTCTATAAGGAGTCTTAAAATTCTTCAAGTTAAGTTTTTAGAAATTGATTAGAAAAACTATTTGACCTACGAAAATGAAGTTCGTATGTATAGGAATCTTGCCACAAAACAAAATATCTTGTGAAAAATATGACTGAAGTGGTGTTACGAACGACCGATTCAATTCCGTTGGCGTATTCGATCATTCCACATGAAAATTGCTTTAGGTACGGCACAATTTTCAATAAATAAGAGTATGTCAATTTGAATACTAACATCTCGTAAAATGCGTATTTCGTTTCTGATATGTCGATTTTCCTATTAAATGTCAAAAACTCACCTCATCCCATTTCTCAGGCAATCTCCTTTTCCCGGATGGGGCTACGATGGCAGCCGTAGCGACAGTATCCTAGAAAAAAATTACCGATTATAGTTACTGTCATCAAGTATTTAACCCCCATATTGACAAAAACATACGGATATTCCACCGAATATTTGCGAACGTACCGTGACACCGCAGGGTGAAAACGGTGTATTGAACAGAGCTGTCTTATCCTCCGAATAGATCACTGGAAGAATGGATTGTAGAAATTCGGTAATCAAGGGAATAAGATGGACCAGAGGAAAAAACAAAATGAAGAGATACTGGAATCGGAGAGGGACCCGAACTTGTCGGAAAGAACTCTTGAGGACGAAACTGTCGTGGAAGTTAATTTAGAGCACGACAGTGGGATGGGACCGCAGAAGAAAGAATGGAGAAAGCTTCCAGGAGCCCAAAGGAAGATGGTGGAAGCTAGGAAACTGACAGATGGGACTTGGACTGATCAAAATCCGTGCAAAAAGGACCCACGTCAAATGTTTAGAAATTCATGTCGACAACTATTTGACCTACGAAGATGAAGCTCGTATGTATTGGAATCGACACCAAAGAAAACATCTTGGAAAAAATATGACTGAAGTGGTTTTGAAAATTTAGGTACGGCACATTTCATTATAAGAATACATCAATTTGAATAATAACAGCCGTAAGATCCGTATTTTGTTTCTTAAATGTCGATTTTCCTATCAAATGTTAAAAACTCATCGCGTTTCTTTCGCGGTCTTCCTCTTCTGCGAGAAGCTGCGGTGGCACACCGTGAAGGAGTTTTCTTAGCATAGTAATAAAAAATAAAATAAACGATTGTGGTTACCTGGCCTCAGGTATTTAACCCCCATATTGTTTAGATTATTATTCATCAGTATATTCCACCCAACATTTGCGTACGTACCATAGCACCGTCAACCACTTATGCTCACAATTAACTTATCCTTCGGTTTTCGTGCTGATAAAACTCCAGTTTCACTGGTCTCCGAATAAAACCACATACGTAGGAATTACTTTTTTGCTGTCTCAGTCATCTCGCTGGCCCTTTTCATGTACAAATTAAATTTCATTTTTGGATACCCAGGTACCCGAAACGTTCGTAAGAAGACATTCCTATGTATGCGGTTTCATTTGACCGTCAGACAAATATGGAGTTTTAACCTGCTGGCACTGGGTCAAGGCGTTGGGGTGGCCCTCAGAGAGATATCGAAAATTAATACCTATTCCATCCTCATGGGAGTGTTACAACTTCTGAGATCGTCCGGGAGGGGTCGGGGATGATCAGATAATGAAACCTCTGGCTATCCCTCCGCCAACTTACCCTTTGCACCTTTCACGCAGTGGCCCTGTCACGGTAATCTTGGCAGGTCTAAGCTAGAGTTCCGAATCACTCTCTGGTGACGAGGCCAACAACATTACCAGTATCAGTGCCATTTCTCAAGATCACTTCCTGGGACATCGAACTGAACATCCACAGCGAACTCAAGACCTCCACAAGCCAAAGTGGTATGTATGCCGTGCTGAGGGCTGAATGGCACCGGGTGCAAACAGCGTCTTAAAGGGATCGTCCTGAGAACCAGGGGCTCCCAGTCTCGATCACCCCTTATCCTCCTAACAGATCACTGGGAGGATGGATTGTAGCAGCCCGGTACTCGTGGTAGTAAACTGGAACAGAGAAAAAATAAAATGAGAAATAAGAGAGGAGGAAACAGGCAGGTCTAGGACTTTCCTGAGGGACCTGTTGAGAAAGATACCGTCGTGGAAGTTGAAATTCCGGACAAGACAGTGGGATGGGATCGCAGAAGAAAGATTTTAGGAACCCAAAGAAGGAAGATCGTGAAAGCTAGGAAACTGGCAGGTGGGACTTTAACGGATCAAAATGCGTGCAATGTTTAGAAATTCATCTCGACAACTATTTGACCTACGAACATGAAGTTCGTACGTATTAGAATCTTGCCACCAGAGAAAATATCTTGGAAAAAATATCACGGGACTGGGGATGATCAGATAATGAATCCTCTGACTATCCCTCCGTCAACGTGCAATCCTTTGCACCTTTCACGCAGTTGCTCTGTCACGCTAATCCTGGCGGGTCTATGCTATAGTCCCGAATGACTCTCAGGTGATGAGCAACAGCATTACCAGTATCAGCGCCAGTTCTCAAGAATCACTTTTTAGTAAATCGTACTGAACATTCGCAGCGAAATGAAGACCCCCACAATCCAAAGTGGTATGTATTCCGTGCTGAGGGCTGAATGACACCGGGTGAAACGGTGTCTTAAAGGGAGCCTCCTAGGAATCAAATTTCCTCTTATCCTCCTGATAGATCAGTGGGAGGATGGATTGTAGCAACCCGGTACTCGTGAGTAAAAGCTGGACCACAAAAAGTAAAATGAAGTAGAAGAGAGGAGGAAATCAGATAGTAGTCTTGAGGAAGATACCGTCATGGAAGTTGAAATTCAGGACACGACAGTGGGATGGGATCGCAGAAGACAGAATAAAGAAAGATTTTAGGAACTCAAAAGAGGAAGATCGTGAAAGCTAAGAAACTGGCAGGTGGGACTTTAACGGATCAAAATCCGTGCAAATGTTTCGAAATTCATCTCGGCAACTGTTTGACCTACGAACATGAAGTTCGTATGTTCGTATGAATCTTGCCACCAGAGAAAACATCTTGGAAAAAATATGATTGAAGTAGTTTTTGGAACGACCGATTCCATTCTGGCATTTTTGCATGAATCCAGATGAAAATTTGGGTACGGCACATTTTTTTATGAGAGAGAATCGATTTGAATAAAGCGAGTAAAATCCGTATTTTGTCTCTTAAATGTCGATTTTCCTATCAAATGTCAAAGACTCACCTCATCGCGTTTCTTGCACGGTCTTCCTCTTCTACGAGGGCCTGCGGCGGCATCCCGCGAAGGAGGAGTTTCCGTAACCTAGTAATAAAAGAATAAAATAAGACAAACGATTATGGTTACCTGGCTTCAGGTATTTAACCCCCATACTGTTTAGATTATTATTCATGTTGTATCAAAAACATAAGCATATTTCACCCAACCACTTATGCTCACAATTAACTTATCCTGTGTTTGTTGTGCTGACAAAACTCCGTGTGTCCACTGGCCTCCAAATGAAACCACATACTTAGGAATTACTTCGTCTCACCCATCTCAATGGCCCTTTTGATGTACAAATTAAATTTTAATTTTCGATACCCAGGTAGCCGAAACGCTCGTGAGAAGTCACTCCTACTATGTGGTTTCATTTGATTGTCAGACAAATATGGAGTTTTAACCTGCTGGCACTGGGTCAAGTCGTTGGGGTGGCCCTCAAAGAGATATCGAAAATTAATACCTATTCCATCGGGAGTGTTACGACTTTTGAGATCGTCCGGGAGGGCAAAGGGGATGATCAGATAATGAAACCTCTGGCCATCCCTCCGTCAACGTGCAATCCTTTGCGCCTTTCACGCAGTTGCCCTGTCACGCTAATCCTGGCGGGTCTAGGCTAGAGTTCCGAATGACTCTCAGGTGATGGGCAACAGCATGCATTACCAATATCAATGCCAGTTTCCAAGATAAATTCTTATGACGTACTAAACATCCGAAGCCGTCACAAAAACAAGAATAAAGGCAATGGCAGCAAAGGATTTCTGGCAAACTTCCTGGAGCACAAACAGGCTCAAATAAAGCTAAACTAGTGGGGAAGAGTCAGGCAAGTGATAAATGACCTCGAAAACAAAAAACGCAAGAGCCTGCCATGTCCTATAGTGAGGCAGATTCCGACCGGTAATTGACAGATGCCATCCGGACATAACCCAAAGGATCTGGACACAAGAAGGTTGGGAAGGGTACAGCACGAGGAGAGCACGAGCACACCTTCTCTAGAATTCCTGAACACCACGTTCAGTGGAGAGATCCTCTGGATGACCCCACCAAGACCTGATTTCGGGAGGCAGTAGCATGTCTGGGGCAACTATGGGAGGGTGCGGATTTAACTGCGGTTGAATACTGGGATCTTCCATGAAGGGTGCTAGTGTCCATCCAGGAACAGAACGGGGAGGAGGGTGATGAGGAGCCTATCGTCCAACGTCTAGGGAGGTTAAACCCTGACCTAAGAGTGGGATGTTGGCACCTCCTCAGCTCTATAATACAGGCGCGCAAGGGATTCGTCCGCCATAAACGTCGTATCATTCAGGATACTGTTGAGTAATTGTCTCCGGGCCTTTACGTGCTCGGGAGGGTACACTTCAGGGTGTTGAGAGGACTTGATGGAGATGGTCAGGGTTCTTCAGGTTAACCTCCAGCACAGTAAAGCTGCCACTCGTGGAGGCTAATCAGAGTTGTTTTTGTACCTAATCCTAGGAAAACAGGACAGGGAGATGCAAAATCACTTAGACCTATAAGTCTGATGGCTTTCTCGATGAAGATTTTGGAAAAACTGCTAGACAGATTTATACGGATTAATGCACTGGTAAACAGCCCTCTGTATTCGGACCAGGATGTCTGTATAGCAGGCAAATCGACAGAAGCTGCACTACATCAGCTTAGTGGCTCAAGTCATCCGAGGGTGCCCGCATTCGGTGATCTGTCCCCATTACTGCGGATCCTGGTAGTGAATGAGTTAATAAAGGGAACTAGACCAAGACGGACACAGAACGCTAGGACATGTGGATAAGCTCGTTATCCTATCGCAAGGAAAATTCAACACCACCAGTCAGAGACAATATGCAAAAACTCTGAATGTGGTCACAACATAGACGTCAAACGAGGGTTTAAACGTAAGTCCCTCCAAGATATCCATAGTTGCTTTCAACATAAGAGAGAAATAAGAGGGGGTATGACCTCTATGCCTTCTTGGAGAACAGCTAGAACTGTCGGGGAAAGTCAAGTACCTGGAAGTAATACTAGTATCCAAACTATCATGGAACCTGCAGATCACACGCATTAAAAGGAGGGAGGAGTCGACTTCAATATTGACTAGATGCTCTCATGGCAAAACACGGGGATTAAGTCCTTCCATGATGCTCTGCACGTACATAATGGTGGTTAAGATCCATCATCTTACGAATCTCTTGTGTTGTGGATATGAGCACCTTGGAAATAATCAAATAAGGACACATCTGGGAAGCGACATACTTGACGGTACGTGAAGACCATATAGTTCCCAGATTTGTATTCGAATAGAACTTCGAGACCAAAAAAGGGGGTCGAACGGAACAGCAAAGGCACGACCTGCAGGGCATAATATATCAACTGGAAGACACACATCTGTATCTCAGGTAGAAATGTGCAATGCAATCTGGCATCGCGCAAGGGTAAATTATGAGCGGCCGTATAATAAAAGGATCGCCATATACACTAACAGTTGGGCGTCACTCATAGCGTATAGAGTTAAGGAGCCCCTAGAGTGGCGTCTGCACTGGTCTGGAGATTCCAACAAGAACTGAACATACTGACGGAACACAAAAAGTAAGGATTGCCGGGACATTCAGATAACGCAGGAAATGATAGGGCGGATGATCAAGGAAACGCTCAGCCCCAACCTTTACAGGCCCGGAACCTGACTTGAAGGTGCCAAAAAGCACAATAAGGAACCAAGTCAAAAATCGGCAAGTCAGAGCTTCGGGTCACCTCCGCTCGATATCACTTTTCTAGGAAGCATTTCCTGTACGACGTCCATGCTCACGATGGTCGTGTAACAGGTGGCGCAGTCCTCTTGAAACCACGTCATGGAGTTGTATCCATCAAAATCTTGGAGCTATAGGGCCAAAATCTCTCTCTCTCTCTCTCCCTCTCTCAGCATTCGAACACAATGTTTTTCAATTAGCAGTTATAGATTGCCCGCGACCGATCTCAAAGAAGTAGGGTCCAATCAAGTGGAGTGGTTTTTGATACTCCAGCGACGGCTGCTCCACACTCCAGTATCGACAGTTTTGCTTGTTCACAAAACCGTTCGCATGAAAGTGAGACTCGTCTGAAAAGTGGATGCTGCCCAAATCACAAAACTTCTCAAGCTCTAACACTGAATATTGGAATCTCTTTGTAGGACCAATGTCCATTAATTCTTGGACGATTGGAATCTTCGATTTGAATCTTATATGGATAAAGTTTCAAGTAACGCTTCAACATTGGCCTCAAACTCGTACGAGCCATACTCATCGTCGCTGAACGCCTACGAGTTGACAGCTCTGGATTGACTCGAACAGATTCACTCACTTCCTCGATTCTTTGCCGTTCGTACTGTTCGCGGGCGACCTTGACGTCTTGTTGGCAATGTCGAACTGGTTTCTTGAAACCCCCTCAACCATTGCTTCATTAAATTAGTGCTATGGCACTGATTAATACGCAGGAATCCATATTTGACTCGAAATAAACGTCGCACAGTGACATAAGAACGATTGTTCTCAAAGAACGCTTGCACCACGAAGGCGCCCTGTTGCCCCGTGAATTGACTCATAGTTACTGAAAATTTATGAATCATACAATCGAACGGTACCGTCCTCAAACATTTCCGCCCGCGTTTCGCGGTTTTATTTGAAAATCAAAAGTACATTTTGTAAAACATTGAAATCTTCGAAAATTATAAATAATTTAAAATATTCCATGTCACTTATCGCACTTACCAAGCACTCCTCAGGGATATCCCGATTTAACAGGTTTAACGGATACCGGTTAGGCGGTGGCATCCGAACCCGGTTTGACCTACGAAGGCACCTAAAAGAGGATGAAAAAAATCACTCAGAACAAGCATGTTCAAAGGGAAAAAGCTAGAGGTAGGTGGAGCAATTTTTGATTGAAAGACTGACCTCAAACCACTTTAGCGGGGAGCAAAATTGGTCATTGCTGCCATTAAATCAGCTTGTGGAGTGACATTCGAATTTTTCCGTTATTGATGTAGTAGTGGACGTTATGTGGATCAATGATGATCGGTGAAAAAGTGAAATACAAGACATGAGGTGGTTATAGAACGCGTTAGTGGCCCGTAACCGTTGTTATATTTTCATTCCCAATGAAAGACTTTGAATAGAATAAGTCATATGATGTGATGAAATGGCGATAACTGTAAAGTCGTCTGTGCCGACATACTTCGGCCAATGAAGTGCATATACGAGGATGTTAGGTTTTAGATTATGTTTTCCGTAATAGACCTGATGGAGAAAATAATCTGATTCATATCTTTTGCATAATCCTATTCAAAAATGACCCATTTTAGCCAATATGTTATATACAGGTTTTTCCCAGAAATAACACGCCAGAGTGGCATGGGAGGTAGATTGGCTTAAGATCAATCAGATAAAGTGAACGTGACCGCAGTAAACTTTTATTGTTTTCGAGATATTGCCACTTTCAAGTTTTATTTAAAAATCCTACTTTATGCTCCTTTTTTGCCTGTTATGGCTATAAAGAACTTTGTAGTTGCTGTAATCGCTGTGCACAGGTACCACCTGAATGTTGTAAAAAACAATGGAAACAAAAAAATACAACCTAATGTTGGTAATATTTGGATGCCTTCATACAACAATGAATAAAAATGATAATGGAAGACATTTACTAAAATAAAAAGCAATTACAGCAACTACAAAGTTGTAATTTGGATACAAAAGACAGATGCATTTATTATTTTTTATTTGTAGTATTTCGCAAGTATTACGACTACAATGACAAAACTAGGAATTATTCAGTTTTTATTAAAACACGGTTATACTATTTTTGAAAGAGCATTAAATAGTTAATTTTTAAGGTCATTTGCTGATTCAATCTGGTACATTTTTTCCACAGTAAAACTTTAGTAAAAGTTATCGCATTGAAACCAAATGTAATTTGCTTTTTTTTTAGCATACCGTTTTCAATGAAATAAATAATCGGTTGTCGCAACCAACTATTAATGGTAGCCCAGGAAGAAAAATCATAGGTAAGAAGTTCTTTATAGCGATCACAGGCAAAAAAGGAGCAAAAAAACGTATTTTTTTAAAAAAACTAAAAGTGGCAATATCTCAAAAATTAGAAAAGTTTTATTAAGGTCATGTTGATTTTATCTGATTGACCTGAAGTCAATCTACCTCCCGTGTCACTCTGGCCTGTTATGTTTGGTATTTATAATGACAGTAAGATTTTAAAAGGTTTTCAGCATTTAACTTAATTATTGAAAAAATGACTTAAAAAGTATACATTTTAATGTAAATTCGTTTTAACATCTGCCTTCGACACCCTGTAGTGCGAGTCAACCAAATATGATCTCTGTGCCAATTAGTTGGAACGGTTAGTTATTGGCAATTTTTTAATATCATTAGTGTTTTATGTACTCGGCTATTCATTTTTTATTGCAGTTATATACAGGGTGACTTCGAAGTTGAGTCATTTATTTTAACAGTGAGTAGATCTGATCAAAATAAATGTTTTTTCCTTTAACATTTTTCTGGTAAAATTAAAGTAACAAAGTTATAGTCTTTTAGAAATTTGAGTACCGCCTTGCCTCAATAATAATATTATGCGCTCGTGTTTGGCAACAACGGATATAATCCGCCTTATCGATTCATCGCATCGGAAACAAAAAAACGAAAGAATTTGAAATGCTTATCACGATGTTTTTACTACAATTTTATTCAGTTATATTCAGTCAATGTCTTTACGAAAATGCTGAACTTGTGGACATGATTCTTATTTACAGAGGGGGAGTCTTTACAAAATGCTGCCGCAGCATCACGCATTTATGCGGATCGGTTTCCCAATCGAGTGCAACCAACCCCTCGTGCCTTTGTTAATGTAGTACAAAGGGCTCGTGAATCAGGTGAAGACCTCACAGGGGAGGCATGCCGGTGCTCCAAGACCGCACGATCAAATACAGGTCCGCTCTGAAATACTTGTCGGGAGGATACTTTATAAAACAAGGTAACATTTTTTTTAATTATTTTTTTTATTTTTACACACATATTTTGGTTTATCTTCCTTCTACAATCATTATCTGAAAATTAATGACTCAACTTCAAAGTCACCCTGTATATACAGGGTGACTGAGTTGAGTCATTTATTTTAACAGTGAGTAGATCTGATCAAAAGAAATGTTTTTTTCCTTTAACATTTTTGTGGTAAAATTAAAGTAACAAAGTTATAGCCCTTTAGAAGTTTGAGTACCGCCCTGTCTCAATAATAATATTATGTGCTCGTGTTTGGCAACAACGGATATAATCCGCCTTATCGGTTCATCCCATCGGAAACAAAAAAGCGAAAGAATTTGAAACGCTGATCACGATGTTTTTATTCAGTCGATGTGTCAGTCGGTAACGCATGAGTGAATAGTGGTGTTTGCTGCGTGGCTCAAACGAAATAAAAAATGGCACATGTTTATGCGGATCGGTTTCCCAATCGAGTGCAACCAACCCCTCGTGCCTTTGTTAACGTAGCACAACGGGCTCGTGAATCAGGTGACTTAAGACCTCACAGGAGAGGGCATGCCGGTGCTCCAAGACTTCACGATCAAATACAGGTCCGCACTGAAATACTTGTTGGGAGGATACTTTATAAAACAAGGTAAAAAATTTTTTTAATTTTTTTTTATTTTTACACACATATTTTGGATTATCTTCCAAAATGGTATAACACTTAGAAGATTACTCGTTTACTTATGCACAATTTTTATTTGAAGAAAAACTGATGAAAATTTTTCAAAATTTCCTAATTAAACAGCGATTATGAAAACGCACAAGGACCCTTAAGGATAACTGTTTGCACAACAGTGGACGTCAAAATGCTGCTGATGATGATTTACCTTTACAGCAAATGCTCAAACTGTTTTCCTTCAGCCGCAATACACGCTCGACATCTGCTTAAAAAAGATCGGGTTATTAAACGAGCGAATCCACGGTTATTAACAAACTCAGCTGCTTCCAATAGTCTTTGCCGTAGCTCAGCTACATTTTGAATCGGCTTGAAATACGCTTTTTCTGTTACAGTTCCCCAGTAAAAAAAATCTAACGGATTCAAATCTGGTGACCGGGCTGGCCACGGTATTGTACCAGACCGCCCTATCCATCTGCCTGGAAAGTTTTGATCGAGATACTCTCTCACTGAGAGTGCATAGTGGCAGCCATCATGCTGAAACCACATGTCCCTGTAAATACTCAGTGGCACGTCCTCCAATAAATTTTCTAAATGATTTTGCAAAAAACCTAAATAAACCTCAGCAGTCAAAGTCTCTGGGAACTCAAACGGACCGATTATTTTACCATTTAAAATTCCTGTCCAATGGTTTATCTTGAAGCGATATTGAGATTTATCTTCTCTCATCAAATGTGGGTTTGCTACGTGCCACTCGTGTAAGTTATGCAGGTTCATGTACCCATCTTTCTTAAATGTGGTCTCATCTGACCATAACATTTTTTCAAAGAACCGTGGATCTTCCCTGTGTCTTTCTAACATTGTGCGACAAAAAGCAACTCGGGGCTCATAATCCCGGGGCAGAAGAGCTTGAACAGGCTGTACGTGGTATGGATGGAGCACGTTTTTTTGCAAGATTCTATGGGCTGTACTTTTGGGCACACCTGTTTTTAGTTCTATTGCACGCACTGAAGTACTCGGGTCTTCTTCGACAGCTCCTAGCACCACGTCTTCGTAAGGAAGAAAAGATCTTCCCTCACCGTGTGATTGGTTTGGTAGTTGGCCCTCTGAGAACAGTAAGCGGTGCACATTTTTGTGAACACTCGATGATCTGGATGACGAGCTGCATTCGGGTACCTCTCACAGTAAAGTCTCGCTGCAGCACTAGCGTTGCATCTGCATTCCCCATAAATGAGCTGCATGTTAGCATATTCTTGTACGGTGTACACGGACATAGCGGCACTGCACAATCACACTATCAAAGATAGTCTAAGGAAAGCAAATGTTGTTTTGAATTAAACAGTCCAAATCCAAATCACAAGCGATCAACAGTCCAGTTCACGAATCCAAAATTAGTAACAGTACGAAATCAACAAGCACGAACATGTAAAGATGCGCAGTAAACGAAGGAGTACTGATCGGTATCAAAGTGTGCAATAGCAAGTAAGTGATGTGCTTCATCCATACCACATACAGCGTGTTCAACCTCTCCTGCCCCGGGATTATGAGCCCCGAGTTGCTTTTTGTCGCACAATGTTGGAAAGACACAGGAAAGATCCACAGTTCTTTGAAAAAATTTTATGGTCGGATGAGACCACATTTAAGAAAGATGGGTACATGAACCTGCATAACTTACACGAGTGGCGCGTAGCAAACCCACATTTGATGAGAGAAGATAAATCTCAATATCGCTTCAAGATAAACCATTGGACAGGAATTTTAAATGGTAAAATAATCGGTCCGTTTGAGTTCCCAGAGACTTTGACTGCTGAAGTTTATTTGGATTTTTTGAAAAATCATGTACAAAATTTATTGGTGGACGTGCCACTGAGTATTTACAGGGACATGTGGTTTCAGCATGATGGCTGCCCAGCGCACTATGCACTCTCAGTGAGAGAGTATCTCGATCAAAACTTTCCAGGCAGATGGATAGGGCGGTCTGGTACAATACCGTGGCCAGCCCGATCACCTGATTTGAATCCTTTAGATTTTTTTTCTGGGGAACTGTAAAAGAAAAAGTGTATTTCAAGCCGATTCAAAATGTAGCTGAGCTACGGCAAAGACTATTGGAGCAGCTGAGTTTGTTAATAACCGTGGATTCGCTCCTTTAATAACCCGATCT